CCTACACTCTCGGTTCACTGCCACGAAATGTCCTCGGCATACTCGTCGTCGTCGTCCTCGATGGAGAGCCGCTCGTACTCTTCGCGGGCAAAGCGGTCCCACGGCGTGAGGTGCGGCTCGCCATGCTCGGCCCGGATCGTTGCTGGATCCTTCTGCTCATGGTTGATGAACTTGTTGAGGTTAAAGAGCGCGTTGAAGAAGATCTGCGCCTGCCCGCACCGCTTGAGGTCCGAGAGCGTGATGCGCGACGGGTCCGCCGGCTTGACCAGGTCCAGCAGCTGGCAGAGGAGGTCCTCAAACGGCACCTCGTCGAGGTTAAGGCAGTTCATCCGGTAGATCTGCTCCTGGAACAGATACTCCATCTCGTATATCGAGATGAATCCGTCGCCGTCCATGTCCACGCACCGGAACCAGTACTCGATGGCCGGCGCAGACGACTTGTCCTGCTCCGCCATGAAGAAGACAACAAACTGGTCAAAGTCCATCGTGTCCGGCGGCGCACCGCCGGCCTCCAGCAACGCAAAGACCCGGTCTAGAATCCGATACGTCAGTGCGTGCGACTCGTGTCGCGCCAGGTCCGACTTGGAAATCCGCAGGTCGTGGTCCGTGTCGAGCTCCCAGTACGCAATGTACGTGATGTAAAAGTGCTCGTACGAGAAGAACCGCAGGTGCTTGTTGATGTCCGGCTCATCGTCGAGCGCGCGCACGTTCGCCACCAGGTCGGACTTCCGCAATGCATTCAGCGTGATCGTCGACGACCACGACCGGTCCACCACAAAGAAAATCCGCGCAACAACCATCTGGATGTATCGCGCCTGGAACTCCTCAGACCCGCGCAGAAACTCGAGGCCTGGATGCGACGAGACTACAATGTTGAGCCACGGCTGAAAGTCGGCCCGCCGCAGCACTTGGGCGCCCTCAGGCGCAAGCACATCGAAAAACCGCTTGTGCTCGTCCGCCGTCTGCAAATGTTTTCGCCAGTACCGCCGGAACGTCGCCGGCTTGATGCTCCCGGCTTTGGCCGTGTCGATCTGGTCAAACAGCAGCGGCGCCAGGTACTTGCTCATCGACAGCGCAGGCATGAGCTCCACCAGCGCGTTGAGATCCAGCCGCCCGTTCGACTGCTTGGCAAACGCTGCCGAAATCGCCTTGGACTCGGCCTCCAGCAGGTCGTCCGGCAGCGGCCGCCCGCCCTTAAAGTAAAACTTCGGGATGAGCTCTTTCGCTCGCTCCCGCCGCTGCTGCTCGGCGTCGGCAAACCTCATCGAGAGGTCGACCGACGCCGATGACGGCGTCCGCACCGTCGGTCGGAGCGCTGCAGCCGATCCCGGCGACCGCGGCCCCAGCGGCGGCGTTGACCGAGTCGTCCCTCCCAAACTCCCAGGGCTTGCTGCCGCACCCGCGCTCGCCGACGACGGGACGACCGCCGCCGACGGCACAGCCTGTCCCTGCTGAAGCGCCAACAGGACAGTCCGCACAAACTCGGTCGTCGCTGTCTGCGTCAACCACACCTGGTAGTACTCATCAAGCTTGGGCCGTGCGTCAAACATAACGCCCACCTCTGATTCAAGTACTTGTGGCTGCCGCACAGCGCCGAGGGCTGACATGGCCACACCAGGCGGGAGCTTGGTCATGCCACCACCGCCACCGCCGCTGCCACCGCCACCTCCAACGCCACCGCCACCACCGCCGCCACCACCCCGTCCTCCGCTCCGTCCCTCGCTCACAAATGCGCTCGCCACCCTGTTGCTGCTTCTCTTGACACGCTTCTCCGTCAAGCAGTCACCGCTTGGAGTCGTGTGCCCCCTCACCCCCCGCCCCCTCCCCTCCTTTCCGTGCCCATGCCGACCACCGAGTCTCTCTCGCCGCGGTCCTCGTCGCTCGCTCGCCGCCCGCCCGTCGCCCGCAACTATTTCGGCCGAAACTGCGACCTTTTTTTGCCATCACGCGCGCTTTTTTGCTCGACGAAAAGAAGAAATGTCGGTCATCTTGCCTTGCGCACACGCCCGCGCACAGACAAGTGACGCAGACGGAGCATCACGACCGCAGCGGCGTCGCCTCGTATGCAGGCGCAGGCTGTCGGACGCCCGTCCCGGAAATCACGGCCGTGCGCCCGTTGAGCGAACTGCCGCCGTTCGAGTTGGCGGCAAAGAGCCGCCGGCCGACAACGGCAAAGAGCAAGGTTGTGACGACGGCCTTGCAGAGTGCCACCACTGATCCCACACCGATGGCCACAGACCAGTTCAAATCAGAGTCGCTGTTGCCCGGTCGAATCGCCGAGTATCCCGGATACGTCACAGTGAGCCAGACCACAACTGCCATGCCGTCGACCACCAGCGCGTGCCACGCACCAATTGCCGCTCCGAGCTTGGTTGCCTGCCACGAGCTCAGCGAGCTCCGCCCGAGCACCGCGTCTTGCATCGCGTGGACCATCCTGCCAAGCAAAGCCCGGAGGACTGTGTGGAGCACAACTGCCGTCGCAGCCACCGCGAGCACCCCGGGAATGGCGTTGTACGCCGACGGCGTGATAAGTCCAGAGTGCAGAACCACATCCGAGACCCTCAGCTTGATCGTCAGCGACCGCGGTGGCGTTGACGCGGGGCTAGTCACTACCGACGTTGGATCAAAGCCGAGCGCAGCCTGCTGATACGGCGCGTTGAACGAGAACGAGTTGCCACCGCCGCAGAGCATCCGTGCGCCTAGCACGCCGCTCGCCAGGCAACGCCGCCGCACGTTGGCGTTCACCGCAACCGCAAACCCGCTGCCGTCGTCCGGCATATGTAGGCCCCAGTACGCCATGCATCCGTCCGCAAACACATACAGTCCGCCATCGTCCTTGGCCCACATCAGGTTGTTGTACCTGTTCTTGTCACCGTCGTAAACCGTCGACACAAGCTCAAACGACGCCTCGCGCACCGCGCTGTTCGCCGCCGTCCCGCTCACCGTAAAGCTCACCTCGGACTGCGTGCCGGTCCCGAAGGCAGGAATCTCGTGGATCGTGTGAAAGACGCACTGCAATTCGCCGTACGAGCACGTTGCATTTCCCATGCTCGTCCCCGCTCCGCTCACAGCCAGACTCGCGCCGCATCGCGATGCTGTGCTCGCATTCTCGTCACACGGCGTCGTAATCCGGAGTCCAAACCGCATGGCTGGCACGTTTGCAGCATCCCGCCCGACAATCGGCAGCGTAGCCACTTGCTGCGCGCCCGGAGCGGTAAACCCGGCAGCAATGACAAACATGGCAGCAAAGACAGCTGCGAAAAAGACAGCGCACGACAGCAGGCCACCCGACGGATGGCCACGTTGCCACTTATCCGTCGGAGCCGGGATCTGCGTACTCCCGCCTCCACCCACCCATCGCCGAGCCATGCTTGGCGACGAGACATCGAACAAGGCATACACTCGCTCAATAAGTCTCGGTCGGCCTCCAAACCCGCTGCCATCACCACCTCGGCCGCTTCGAATCGCCCGCCGTGCAGAACAGCAACGAGCCAGAGACAGTGCTGACGAGCCTGCCACCACCAGCAGGCCGGGGAGGAGGCCAGCCGCGAGCGCCACGCCGGTGTAGGGGAAGGAGCTCTCGTCCACCACCTGTTGACACACCGTAGTCGACGCAATGTTGCCCATGACGACAGTGAGCGTCCCAGGGAGCTAGGTGTGGCGGTCGTCGTCGTCGTCGTGGCCACAGGCGTCGTGCGTCGTGTTTTGACAGCGACAGGTTTTGGTGGGGAAAAATATGGGTTACATGCGCGTCTTCTCGGCTCTTTTTCTACCTTTTTCGCACTCTGTCCATTTATCTTACCTCACCAGCAGCGGCAACTGGGTCATCAAGCGTAGCTCAAGATGATGGTCCGGCTGACTCCTCCGTTGCACTTGCCTTGGACGGCAGGGAGGAATTGCAGTGGAGATGGCGAGGTGAGAGAAGAATCGCCACGCTCGCCGACATGGCCTAGTCGCCATAACACCGCAGAGATGACGACCGCTGGCACCAATGCTAGTAATGAGCATGCACCAGGCGTTCACACCCGCCACATGTCGGATCACGGCTTCTATCCATGGTTCCATCCTCTTCCTCGCAGGCTTGGCCCGGGTTCTTTTCCGGCATGTGCGCGAACAAAAGGAGCAGCCATTCCTTCGCGCCGCTTCCGTCTACAAAACGAAGTCACGTTCCAGGACAGGGACGCAGATAGGCGACGACACTCGACTCATCGCAGAGGCAAGATGGCCCATACTGCTATTTCTGATCCAGAGTACATGCGCGAGCGGTTCGACAGCCAGGCGACGCTGGCCGGCAAGATCTCAACGCTCGCCGAGTGGATTCGCGAGGCCGACGGCGAGACAGTAATCTTTACTGGCGCCGGCATCTCGACCTCGTGCGGCATTCCCGACTTCCGATCGCCCAATGGGGTGTGGACGCTCAAGGCGCAGGGTCGGAAGCGCAAGGGAAAGACCACGCCGACAACCAAGGCCATCCCATCGGCAACCCACATGGGCATCGTGGCCATGCTCCGTTCTGGCACCGCCAAGTTCCTCATCTCGCAAAACTGCGATGGCTTGCATCGGCGATCGGGCGTGCCGCCGGCCAAGCTTGCTGAGCTCCACGGCAACTCAAACATAGAGTACTGCCGCTCTTGTGGGGCCGAGTACCTCCGCGATTGGGCCTGTCGCCGCATCGTCCGCGGACGCGATCACTTTACTGGCCGCCATTGCGAGCGCGCCGGATGCGGTGGCAAGCTCTGGGACTCGACCATCGACTTTGGTCAGAGTCTGCCGGAGGAACCGCTCCGCGCCGCGTACGCCGCCTCGCAAACCGCTGCCCTCCACATTGTCTTTGGGTCATCGCTCACCGTCTCGCCGGCGTGTGACATGCCGGCGGAGACCGCAGCCGCTGGCGGCCGCATGGTCATCGTCAACCTGCAGAAGACCCCGCTCACAGAAAACGCCGATCTGCACATCTACGCCAAGACCGATGACGTCATGTGCGCCCTTCTGAGCCAGCTTGGCCTCGATCCGCCGCAGTGGCGCCTCCGCCGCTCAATCCGCATCCGCCACGGTGTGCGTGGTGACGGGTACGTCATCTGTGTCTCGGCCGTCGATCCCGAAGACAACGCCCTGCCGGCATCCATCTTCCGCGGAGTGGTGGCGAGTCTTGTTCCGCAAGATGCCGATGCTGCGCCGACGACCGTCACGCTGCTTGAGCCGCCATTTGCAGCCACCATCCCGGTCACCACCACGCCTGACAAGACAGTCGTCGATCTCATGTTCATGGGACACTACGCTGAGCCCAGGCTTAAGCTGGAGCTCCCGATTGTGCTCGGCAAGCCGCCTGCTCAGCCGGTTGCCATCGAGCTTGCCTACGATCCGTACACTCGCACGTGGACGGTGCTCTCACGGACCGATGGCACCGGAGCAGGGCCGTCGGCGACATCGGCGGCTTCGCCGAGTGCAGAGCCGCTCATCGAGCCTACAGCCACACTGGTGCTCTCGCAGGACACCTCGCCGGCGTACATGGTGTCGGCAACCCGGATCGCGTCGATGGCCGCCGCCTCTCGCCCGCTGGTGGTCATGTGGCCGGCGGTTAGTCGACTGGTGGTTCCGGGCGGCGAACAGTATCCGATGGTGGTTCTTGTCGGCGGGCTCCCGTCGCGCGACTCGGGCGCTCGCGATCAGCCGCGGCTTGCGGCGTACCAGATCGTCGAGCATAGAGTCAACGGTCGGGTCGGCGTCTGGTTCACGCCTTCCTTCGGCAACTTGGCGATCCAGTGCAGGCGGGAGTGCGAGCGAGGAGTGCTTAAGCGGTGGCTCTCGGCAGCCGCGGCTGTCGATCCGCACACCATGGTGGTGTTTGGTGGATGCGATGGAAGCTCGATGTACAACGATCTGACTGTGGTTCGGGCGACAAGTGTCCGCGGTGCGCTTCCCACACTCGAGCTGGAGATCGAGGCGCTGGCGGCAGTCCCTGGCGGCAACCGGCCGGCACATCGACTCGGTGCTTCGCTGACGGCGATCGGCGACGGCCAGTTGGTTCTCTTCGGCGGATCGGTGTGTGAAGGCGGGCCGTATGCGTTCCTCAACGATGTCCACGTCTTTGACATGTCGAGTGGCGAGTGGACCGACATGACGCCGCAGATCCGCGGGCCGCGGCCCAGCGCAAGGGCACAACACGCCGCGCACTACTTTGCACACGCCAACTCACTGCTTGTGGTTGGCGGTACGGGAGTCGACGCCCACCACGCCGACGGCCATGTCCTCGATCTCGACTCGTGGACGTGGCGGGCAGTGCCGAGCGGACCCGGTGGGCCGGCTGCAGTGGCGATCGCCGACGACGACAAAAAGCCGTTCCGGATCACGCCCGCACAGTGCGCAATCGTCCCGACAAGCGCGGCCACGCCCGACACAGTGCTTGTCTGGGGCCTCCCACACCAGATCTCGCCAGTCCACATTCTCGACGTCTCGGCCGGCTGGCGTCAGCAGGCCGGCGAGTTTGTCCTCCCGCCACCGCTACCCGCCACCGCTGCCGCGGCCGTCACATTCGACGATGGCATCACAGCGCTGTTTGGTGGCGTCAGCGGCGATGGTGTGCGTCTCGAGGCACTCGGCCCGACATGGATCGAAGCGGCGAGCCCGTGATGCGATGTAAGCGGTCGATGAAGGCGGGGGTCGGGTGCGATGCGGAGAAATGTCCTGCCGGTGGCGGGCACTCCATCGCCTTGGCTCACGATCGGGTTACAGGACACAGCCATGGCATGACGCGAGTCAATGCGACATGTCTGTGCGAGGAGATAAACAGCTGCCAGTTGTCAAGCAAACCACCCAGGCTGGGTAGCCGGTCTGGTTCTGGCAAAGTGTGGGCAACAAATATTGCTGGCCGTCTTTCTACAGCCATTTCGCGGCACTTCACTCCCTTCGCCCACGGGCGACGCGAGCACGACGTCGCGAGTCGGACCGATGTCAGAGGGGCAGGCGAGCATCCGATTGCTCAAGACACCAAGTGCAGAGAGTGTGACTCTTGATGTACGTCATACCGTAGTTATCTTTCTCCATGCCCCCCTCCCCCTCCTCCCCCTCGGTGTGATGGCTCGCCATCTTTGCCGTCCCCGCCGACGGCGATGACCGCCATTGGCCGTGAACGCTTGCAATGGCGTCATTGATGATTAGCCGAATGAGAGTGGAGAGCGGCTGAGCTGAGCCGAGGGTGTGTAGCCGCACAGCGTGTACCACGGAAGTGTGGTACCCCCTATGTTCCCCATACTCTCCATGACCATAGTACATAGCATGATACAGTATGTAGGGTGGTGTGGTGATGGTGGTGTGGCATGTACCTCCTCTACTTGCCTTGGATGTGCCTGGAGTTGGTAGGCGTGTCACTTCGCCCGAACCGAACCAATTGTTCCATGTCCGCAATGCGGGAGGCCGAGGCCGGGTACATGAAGGTGTGTACGGGGAAGCTAGACAGACGAACTAGCTTGTCATGTGGAATACTTACATTGTGATTGACCTCCTCCCGCTTTGTCTCCTCATCTCATGCCATCTGTCGCCTCGTTCTGCCCCCCCCCCCTCCCCCCTCCCCCCTCCCCCCCCATCGCACCCGTCTCTTCCACGCACGTTTCTCGCCGCTGTCCTCCCCCCCCCCCTCCCCCCGTCTCCTCCTCCCTCCGCTACGTCTCCCCACAACACCGTCATGGCCACACTGGACACAATGGGTCATGGCGCTGGTGGTACTGGTGCTGCCCCTACTCCTGATCATGCTGTTGCCGCTATCCCTGCCGCTGTGCCTGCTGCTGTCTCTGCTGCTGGTCCGTGGTCATGTTCCTGATCATCCTGCCAAACGCAATGCTGCCCGTGATACACCTGTGGCGGGTATGTGGCTGCAGTTTGCGTCCTCAACCACGATCGGGGAGATGGCTGTGCATCTGTTGGCAAACTGGCCCGAGAACTTTCCAGACGGCGACAAGGTGACCACGCCCGAGGTAATCAAGTTCCTGTTTAAGGGCAAGTTCCTCGAGGCGTCGCAGAGCCTGGCGTCGCTTGGCGTGACTTCGGCCAAGCCTGCGACGTTTCATGTCATGATCCGGGCAAACGCGGCAAAGGCCAAGTCCAAGTCGTCGTCGCCTAAGACAGCGTCGTCCTCGCATGCCAACCGTGCCGGACAGCAGCCACCGCAGCAACAGTCGGCATGCTGCACCATCCTCTGATCTGGTCAATACCGCGCTATCGGGCCGCCCTACCTCGGCCGCCCTACTCTCTGCACCTTTGCTCTCGTGCACTCGCTCGCCTGCCGCAACTGCAGCTCCCATCACTATGCTGGACTCGCGCTGTCTGACGCATCCAGCCTCGCTCATGCCCCTCGTGAACGCTACCCATACACACCAACACACATTCGCACACACACACACACTCTCTCTCTCTCTCTCGCTTGCACTCTCAGTCGTCCTCATGGTGCGCCTGGTTGCGGCTGGTTGCGGCTGCGCCGGCTCACCAGCATGCCCTCACATCTGACACGATCCGAGGCCAAGGAACGCCCATTGCCAGGTCAGATGGCCGCCACAACCTTGCGGCTGTCCATTGGAGCCGCGCATCAGTCGCATCAGCTTCAGTTGCGGCTTGGGTGGGCAGCGCTGACTGGCCCAGGCACCACTCGACTCGTCGGGCCAAATGGCAGCACACCATCCCACGAGTCAAGCGACGGCAGGCGCCTCCGGGGACGCGAACGGAAGCGGGAACGGATCTTCAGGAGTGTGGCAGCCAGGAGAGGAGCTGAGTCTATGGAGCACCGATGCGCGGGCGAGTGCGCGGAGTGCTAGCCTGCCTGTGGACGCGCCGCTTGTGTTTGAGGCGAGCGATGAGGCAGGGACGACGGCTCGGGTGACACGGGCGATTTCGGCTGGCGATGTGCTGCTGGCCGAGCCGCCTGCAGCCGCCATGCATTCTCCGGCCAACGCGATGGCGGGCGTTCTGGCCTGTTCGCGCTGTCTGGCCTTTCTTCTTCCGCCGCGGCACCACATCGCTGCTCTCACTGCTGCCCTTGATGACCATGCCGCGCCGCCGCCGCTCCCACACGCTGCGCTCCCGTGTCCGCTCGGCTGTGCCGCGGTCTTTTGCTCGTCAGAGTGCCTGGCCATCGCCATGGCTGGCGGCAGGCATGTGCTTGTGTGCGACGGTGCTGGCGCCGAAGACGGCGATGGCCAAGCCGAGGCCGCGGCGGCGGGCATCGGCGAGGTCATCGGCCAGCTGGAGGCCTTTGACGAGGCCTTTGTCTTTTCAGCCGGCCTGCTGGCGGGCTTGGCGGCCGAGCGGGCAGGCGGGGAGCATGCGCTGGCGGACAAGCTCGCCATGTTTACGCAGCCTGCGTGGTCAAAGCTCAAGATCGCGCCCGAGGACGTGCCCGAGGCTGAATTCCGGCACGATATGGCGGTGCTGGTGGGCAGCGCAGCGGAGCAGCTGGCGCAGGCGTTTGCGGCGCGGGCGGCGTCGACGCAAGCGATCGACGATGAGGCTTTGCGTGCGCAGCTGCTTGCAGCCATCGACGAGCTGGTCACACCGGCGGCGTTTGATGCGCTACTCGGCATGGTCCAGGCCAATCAGATGGGCGTGCGGCGGCCATCAGTGGTGGCGAGCGCACTGGAGTCTGGCGCGCTGGAGTGGGCCGAGGTCTGCGGCGATTTGACGGCGCTCCGCGACGCAGTCATTGCGACGCAGGCGTCGTGCGGCGAGGACAGCGACGGCGATGGTGATGACGAGCACGAACACGAGCCGATCGAGGTCATCGCGGCACAGTACCCAGCCGAGTTTGCACCCGAGGCACCGGCGGTCGACCAAGTGGTGGCGACGGACATGTTCGTGGCGCTCGACGGAAGTGCGGTCTTCCCGCTCCTCGCCGGCATCAACCACGCGTGCAGACCCAACGCCAAGGTGACGTACGAGGCCGGCGACGACGGAGCGGCAGTCCGTGGAGTCCTAGTCGCGCTCTGTGACCTGGCGCCCGGCGACGAGGTGTTCATCTCGTACTTGCCGGACGTCGAGTTCACGGACGCCACCGAGCTCAGTCTCGAGGAGCGGACCGAGATCTTTGCCGACTACGGCTTTGTCTGCGGGTGCAGCCTGTGCATGGCAGGCGAGTAACTGCTTACAGGTCCATGGCGGCAAGGCCGTCGTCGGCAGGGTCGACGGCGACGGGCGGGCCGGGCTCGGAGGCGACGACCGCGGCAAAGTCCGCAGCGACCGGGAGCGGCCAGGCGACGGGCGTGGCAGTGGCAAAGTCGAGCTCGATGCCGACGGCAAAGAGAGCGTCGACAATCCACTGCGGCACGTTTGGCCCGAAGCGAGTCTGCATGTACGCAGTGACAAAGCCCGGAAGGGCGTCGGCCTCGATGGCGGCGCGGATGTCGGCCATGAGGCGGAGCTGGAAGGCAATGTTGTGGTAGGAGATGAGCTGGGCGCCGGTGTGTGACTTGACCACGGCGTGGAGGTAGGCGCGGGTAAAGGTCTTGCACACATAGCAGCCGCAGTCTGCGTCGATGGGGCTGAGGTCGGTAGCGAAGCGCTTGTGCTTGAGGGCGAGCTCGCCCTCGCGGACAAGCGCCTTGCCGAAGCGGGCAGTGCGAGTGGGGAAGACGCAGTCGAACATGTCGACGCCGAGGGCGGAGCAGACGACCAGATCTTGGGCATAGCCGACGCCCATGAGGTACCGTGGCTTGTCAGCCGGCAGGTGCTGGGTGCAGAGGTGGACCATTTTCCAGAACTCGTCCTTGGACTCGCCGCCCGAGAGGCCGCCGATGGCAAAGCCCGGCGTGTCACGGGCAATCATGGCGTCGAGGCAGTAGAGGCGGAGCCGCGGATCGAGACCGCCCTGGATGATGCCGAACAGGTTCTGCTCTGCCGGGCGGGCGTGTGCGGCGATGCAGCGATCAAGCCAGCGGATGGAGCGATGCATGGCGTCCTCAACACGAGGGCCCGAGATGAGGGAAGAGACAACATCGTCAAGAGCCATGATGATGTCCGCGCCAATGTTGTTCTGCATGGCAATGGAGAGCTCTGGCGAGAGCAAGACGGTAGTGCCATCGTGAGGCGAGGCAAAGGTCACGCCTTCTTCGCTCACGGATGAGAGCTTTGCCAGCGAGACCATTTGGAAGCCACCCGAGTCTGTGAGCATGCCACCATGCCAGCCCGAGAAGGCATGAAGACCACCCATGGCAGCGACGGTCTCTGCACCGGGCCGATGGCCCAAGTGATACGTGTTGCCCAGGACGACTTGGCAGCCGAGTTGAACCATTTGAGGCGGCGTGAGGCCCTTGAGTGAGCCCTGGGTACCCACAGGCATGAACATAGGTGTGCATGCTGTCGTGTGCGGGAGCGTAAGTCGCGACGACCGCGCCTTGGTCACACTGCACTCAGCCTCCACGACAAAGGTGAGGGCCATGGTGGTGATGACGGTGACACAGAGAGGCTGACTGAGAGTGCGGTGATGGATGCTGTGGCTGTGGCTGTGGTGGCAGGGGGGGGGGGGGGGGATGATCATGGGGCTGGAGGGGGGGTGGGTATCATCGGCTGTGGGCATGGGCATGACAACTTAGGGATGGGAAGTGTGGAGGGGGGAGGGGGGGGATCGGAGGTAGGGGGGAAGGGATGGGAGGTGATGGCATCGGTGGAGGAGGTCGGGGCGGATGTGAGGGGAAAGAGAGGGTAGCCCAGCAGCCCGCCTGCCGCCACCAGCCGGCCGCGCCACGCCCACCACCCGCCAACCCGCCCATGCCTGCGACCAGCTGGTGCTTGAGCCTTTTGCCTATATGTATAGGTATACGGCACGTGACTTCCCCACCCCCACCCCCCACCTTCCCCACCACTAGCCCCATACCCCCCCCCCCCTCCTCCCATCCCCCCCCTGCCACTATGTCCTCCAATGATGCTGCGCAGACGGCCGAGTGGGTGTTCGACTCCATCGTGGCCTTTCTCAAGTCCCCGCTGTGGTCCACCCCCATCCTGACCTTTATCGATCGCCACTGTGCCATCTTTGACACAGACGAGGAGAACCCGCTCTCATTCACCACATGCCACAATGTACGTTATGTCATGCATATAGAGGGGGGAGGGGGAGGGGGAGGGGGGAGGGTTCTTTCGTCCGAAAAAGGTCGCATGACCTGCCAATGCAACTTGGCGCCAAAGTCGCTGGGTGGGATGGGGAAGGCGACAGGAGGG